TTCAGCGTCTATTGCCTCTCGTGAGATCGTCCAGTTTGAATTCATACATTTTCCCAAAGTATTTGAAAATAATAATACATTTGATATATACATTTGATATACATAATTACATAATTTTACAATATTCATTTTATGACAATTGACAATTTATTTTTTTATGAAATGCGTAAAGCACCTAGACCTAGGGTCTGTATGTGCGAATAACAGAAGTTAATAATAAGTTCAATATAATAACACACATTTTGAGATGTTTTTCATCACAAACACATAAAATACAACACATAAATGAGTTTGGTGTGAATTATTCTAAACTACATATATACATACATGATATAAGATATTCAACTATAGCAATTCTAAATATGATGAATAATTTTGATAAACATGACATTTGCAAGCTTTAGAAAACTGTGTAATTTTTTTTATATTTCGAATCTCCAGTGGAAGAGTGTTGAGAATTTTTGGAGCTAATCTGGTTAGAAATCTTTTATTAGCATCTTTACGATAAAAGGGAACATGACTATGAAAGTTTGAGACTTGTCTAGTGCGATGACAATGGGAAATAGGATTTATCAATTTCTTATTCTTATATATGAACAGGCATATATTGTGAAAATATAACATTCTAACGTTGAGAATATCAGCATTATACAAATCAGCAGTGTGATATAGCCTATTTTTATTAAAAATAATTTTTAAAATATAATTTTGGATAACATTCAACGGAATTAATGCGTTGTTATATAAACCACCCCATATGATGATCCCATACTTTAATACCGATTCCACAAGCGCCTTGTAAACCATTAGCAAAATATTCTTTTTCATGAATTTCCGTATTCTATAAAATTTAGGGATTAGCCTTCTAACTCTGTTACACAAATATAATACATGATCATACCACTTCAGATTTTTGTCTATTGTGACACCTAGATATCTTGTGGAAACTCTCTTGAATTCTTAGGTCAGTATTTTGAAATTGCAAATTGGTAAAGAGTGGTCTGTTTGCATCAGTAAGAGAGAATGCGATGTATGTCGTTTTCTTTACATTTAATGATAATTTATTTTGGTCAAACCATTTTTTGGCAATACTCATGCCATTTTCGGATCTCACTTTTACATCTTCCCATGTTGCATCCCCAAAAATAAGTACTGTATCATCAGCATAGGAAATGATATTACCACCTATATCAGTTTGTAGCCAAGTGTTTATGTATGTAATGAAAAGCAACGGTCCAAGTACCGTACCTTGAGGAACTCCAATTTCAATTATTTTCGAATCACTGATTACGTTTTGAATCTTAACTTGTTGTGATCTATTGGACAGATAGCTCTTGAAGACTTCCAACACTGTGCCCCTCACCCCGTAATGTCCAAGAACTTCAAGCAGTCCCGCATGCGGGACTGTGTCAAAAGCCTTCGCGAGGTCAATAAATACCCCTATACATTTTTTATTGTCATCTAAATAATTTTTAATATTGTTTATTAAGTGAAACATTGCGTCATCTGTACTGCTTCCTTTTTGGAACCCAAACTGATTACTATTCAGAATGTTCATACTCTCGAGATACTCCTGTAATCTGCTTTTTAAACATTTTTCCAATAATTTGGCAAAAGTACTAATAATGCTGATAGGCCTATAGTTAGATATGTCAATTTTGCTGCCAGATTTATAAATGGGTATAACTATAGATTTTTTTAAATCATCAGGGATATTTCCCGTTGTGAAAATTAAATTAAAAACATGAATCAACGGATCAAGAATATGCATATGACACATTTTAACCAACTTAGAAGTGATACTATCAAAACCTGGGGCACTGCTATTTTTTAAGCTACCAACAGATAAATTGATTGTGAAAAACAAACATCCGACACCGGAATTACAAAATCTGATTGTAACAAGTAACAAACAAAATCGTTCGTTCAATTCTGATAATTATAAAAAATATATCTGGTTGACGGGATCTGACGTAAGGAATAAGCTATTTTGTTGGTACTGCGTATCATTCTCAACCGATGTCATCATGTTGGGGGCGATTAGGGTATAATTATTTGAAAAATTTGGCTCGCGGATTGGATAGACACTGCGAATCACAGGAACACATCTCTTCAAGTATTAAGTTCAGGTTAACTGGTGAACAGAATGTCATTAAAGCTAGTGATTTGGGTGAGTAGGGAGTTGTTTTTCACAATAAATCTCATATCATTCAGCCTCCTCTGTCATGAAAGTCACGAGCCGCCACTGTATACTTTCATAAGACGTACCGTTTTCGCGTAAAAAATAAAAATCAAATAATGTTTTTTCTGAGATTGTTTCTCTGTTAAAATTTAGTTGTCACTTGTCACTCACTATGAGTAAAAACACATTTTGTTATGGATATTTAAAAAAGAATGTACGTCCCTGCTTTCAACACCCTGTGGCTCAAAAATTAAGAGGTTTAAAACATATGTTTATATAAACTTTTCTCCTTAAAATCACCTGAGATTCACACCATTTATTATCGGCACTCAATTAATCAACCCCCTGTATATATATGCATGTATATAATGAAAGATAGAGATTTATTGATTTCTTCAAGTCGTTTACATGAAATTATATTTTCCCAGATGGAAATTTGGCCAACTTTGTTTGCATGCACAGGGTGATTCAGTTTTTCCAAACCCTTTCCCCCTCCCCTAGTTCGTTGAGGAGCTACAGGGCGTTGAAGTATATTGAGGGAAAAAATTCTCAAGATACCTAACTTAAAGAATATGTTATGAATTCTTCCATTGGTAAAATTGCACTTATCATGCGATGCTTTTTTTTCGGAATTCATTTTTGTACTTACGTATTTTTGTCTGAAAAATACGAATATGATGATGAAAATGTGAATAAATCACTATTTATCGAGATATTTCAAGAAACAGTTGGAAATTTCGCCTTATTTTCACCCTTTCTTGCATGCATTTTACAGCTACTCACTGAAAGAATCACTTATTCCGCACTTTCAGGAAAATTACTATTTAACATTTGAAAAGAAGCTATTAAGATGTGCTCATTTTTTCTGAACCCTTCATAGAAATATTATGTTCGTCTCTAAAAAACTCATAATATTATTGACGATTATTGACACAGATCCAAATTTGGTAATAATCTCATGACTAATATAGAGGAGATATAGAGGGGACCCATTGAAATGAGATACGCTGTATATACAAGGAGTTTTGGAGAATATTCTGATGATTTCATCAAAAGACCCACAACTGCAAAATTGAATCTCGGAATAATCGAGAAGGGAATTGATTTTAATTTCTGCTAAATTTTCCAACACTTTATGTTGTGACTTGGATTGTAGAAATGTTGCTTCGAATTTTTCAGACACCAATATTCGTACGTCTGAACCATACGCCATTCAGAAATAAAATGAGTATATAATAAAAATTATATCGTTTATCGCCCTTTACCAGTCCAAGGAATTACCGCGAAATCGTAATACAGCGAAATTTGGGCTCATTTTTTACGCGCTCTATTTATTTAATTCCTTTCGGACTAATTGTCGGTAACTCTACCATTTTTTCACTATTCAATTGATACATTATCCTAGTCTGATATACTGAGTTGGTTTTATCTTATTCCGATTCCAAATTTGCAAAAAATAGTATTCTGTAGTACAACGTCCTGATTTTCAATAAAATGGCATTTCTTTACAACGCCGGAACTCGGTATTGATTCATCCTATTGGATTAATTTTTTCACCAAAAGTTGGGGAATTCGTTGGGGATCATTTCGTCTCGATTGATTGTGCTTCTAAAATTTATAGTAAATGAGCTATAGCCTATCAATTACGAACGCACCAGTACGAACTGTTGTGAAATCTCAACCTACTAGTGTGACGTCAGCGTCGAGAGAGAGGGGATAGACTACGGCCCGGTGAGATAGAGTAGGCCCTGGCTAAAGCCCGTGAGCTTCAACTTACGGAGTTCCCTGGCTGGAACAAAATGATAAATTCTACTTAGCTTGATTCTAAACAGCTGGCGCTAGTTACACTATGCCGACAGCCGATTGCTGGTAGCCTATGAATATCACGAAAATCCTTGGTAACCTAGATAAAGACAATGATATCTCGAGGAACTCGCAAAATGATAATCATGAGAATGTCTTGAACAGTTCGTGATGCGAACTCTCAGAGACCTCGACAAGGGCATTTTTCGTGAATTCCTTGGTTCACTCGTAGTTGCGAGAAAATTTCTCGAATTTCTCACCGCAATTTTATGTGTGGAAATATCTTGAATAACTCCTAGTTGCGAACACTCACAGACCTCGTCAATAGTAATTGATGCGAATCTCTTGAAGTACTCGCCACAAGGCTATGTGTGCGAATATCTCGAATAATTCGGTTCTGCGAATACTTGGAGATCGCACCAGTGGCAATTGATGCGAATCTCTCAAAGTTCTCGGAACAAGGTTCTGTATGCGAATTTCTCAAAGAACTCGCCTGAAGGTATTGTAGGGTAAAACTACCAATTATTGGCACCCTTAAGCATGTGCTCTCATTAAGAAGCTCATCAAAACTAAATGTATTGGAGAAATGATTCAATTGAATATTTATATGAATGACTGATGGTTACTGAATGTTGAAATGACCATTATACCGTAGTTGAACTTCCCTTTCGAATTTTATAGAAGTTGATTTGATGAAATAACTCTAATCCAGTGATTGGCATACTTTCTGGTATAATTGGCACATGAATCATTGGCACATTCGAATCATTGGCACATGAATTAATGGCATATTTGAGTCTTCCGAAATGAAAATGTTCATTTCCTTTCGTCCATTAATTTCCATATGTGTACGAAAAATAATAGGAAGGTAGGTAGGTACCGTCTGTTTGAATTATTGGCATATTTGAATGAAAAGCACATGAGCAAATGAGTCGCTATCTAGAAGTGAATGTCTTTCAACATAAAAACGTTTATTTTCTAAAATATATTCCTACAAATGAAACTACAGTTCAAATTATGTTTTTCCAGAACAAACAGAACATATGAAATTTTTCACATTTACATTTCTTTTTTCCAAGCAAAGCTTGTGATATTGGCGGCCATAACATTTCAAGCATCTTACACCATTCTTTCCTCTGGTAATGTTCATCGTACAAAGAAAACATAATCCAGTCTCAACTATATTATCATCAAAAATTGTATTTTCCTGTTTTTCATGAAAAATATTCCTAACAGCAGTTTTCTGACTAGGTTTCAACTTGATATCTGAAATTATAATAGGCTGTTGGGTTTCAGCTGGTTCAAAATACATCTGGGTGTTTTTTGAAGCGTGCAATATCGAATCATCCTTCCTAGGACCAGTATTGGTGTTCTTATTATTCTTGGTTCTTGGTGCTTTCTTTTTCGATTTGGAATGTTCTGTCAATATTTTTTTCTTCAATCTCTCTAATCTTCTAGATTCTTTATCGAGTTCTTCTTTCGCTTTTTTTTCTTGTTTCTCTGTATAAATTTTTTTCCAACCCGTTGATACTAGAACGAATGGCATCCTCTCAGTTGTTTTATTTCCTTTTCGTGTCGGTGTTTCTGGCCACCGGAGGGATTTCTCAAGCGAACATTGCTCTTCTGGTACATCGATGTTCTCTTTATCAATCTCTTCTTCATGCCCTTGATCTCGCTGAATCTGATTGTGTTCTGAAGAAGCTAATTCTTCGTAGTCATTGCTATTCTTGTCAGTGTCATTGTTTGGAGTAATCATGGTTTCTTCGATAATAATATCATTATTTTGCGTATGATCATCAGAAATGCTGCCCAAATTGTCTTCAAAAACTATGGGAATGTCATTTATATCAAATTCAAGAGTTTCATCATATACCTCATTCAAATTTTCTTCTATCAGTTTCGGCTCATCTTCATTTCCGATATAGCAATTGGGGAGACTCGATCCATCATCGGGCTTATATTCCAACCAAAGTTGATGCAGCAATTGAAAATATTCATTCATTTCATGAGTATCATCGCGATTTTTTTTTATTTCTTGGAATTTGCGAATATTTGTTTGACCGACCACATCACAAAATGTTTTATAAGACAAACCATCTCTCTTTTCATCAGAGCTAATATCGTATGATTTAACAGTGCTTTCATCAGGATGTTTCGATCTGCCGAGGCATTTCGTGAAGTCAATTGCTTCAACGTTAAAAGGATACAAACCAGTGGTTCGAAATCCATTTATTATGCTGGATCTGTTGATATTATCTAAAACAGTTTTTAAAATTGGAGCAAAATGTTCTTTGGTCAACTGCTGGGAAAGTGGATTCTCATATCTCCAGTTCAATACCGCGCGTTTCCAAGCGTTCTTGATTGGCTTGAAAGCTCCAACATCTGCAGGTTGTAACAATCTGGTCGCATTTGGATACAATGCTATCAAAATGATTTGTAACCCTCTGCACAATTCACTCAGTTGATAGGTCAAGTGTGTTTTATGGCCATCAACATATAGTATGACTGGAAAAGACACTCCCTTTTTAACAAGGTATGGGTGGAATACTCCACTAATATATTCATAGAATATTTCTGATTTCATCCAACCGTTTTCACTCAATCCTATACCCCAATCTTCGGGAACAGATTCAAGAATAGCTTTTGGTAATCTTTTATATGGGTAAATTATCATGGGAGGTGTAGTATCTCCGGCAGCCGAGAAGGTGAACATAACAGTCAAATTAGATTTAGCTGCAGCTCTGTCAACCTCATAAACATTTGCCGAACCTTTCGTTGCTACAACTTTCTTTGTTTTTGGCCCTAAGAGAAAACACGTTTCATCTCCATTATAGATCCGATCAGGGAAGTTTATAATGAAAGAGTGTCCTTTTTCATGTAGATAATTCTCGATTTCTTTGAACCATTTTCGTAAATCATTTCCAGAAATATTCGCACTGGCTTGAGTTACTGCTTCTGACATTCTCTCAACCATATTATGGCGTTGCAGGAATGATTTATACCAGTGATCTCCTGGAGTATTATTCTTGAAAATAGTTTTTCTCTTACTTTTGTTGAGAAATTCTTTGACCGATTGTTGTATATCTTCTTTCCGCCTTGGAAAGCCTTTACGTTGATTGTCATTTATCCACTTAACAAGTAGTTCCTCTTCGCTTGTACTCAGAACTGTTTCAGGTCCATGACGAATTTTCTTGAATCTCTCCGACATTCTGAATTGTAATGTTGCTCGTGGAATTCTATATGTTTTGGCAGCTTGTTTTTTAGACATTCCCTTCTTGATGGCTTCAAGAGCTCTAGTGATTTCAGGCTCTGAATATTTTTTCTTGTAGACATATCCTTTCTTTACTTTCGGCATTTTTGAAAATCCTAAAAATGATGGGTATACTCAAGTTTTTTAAAATTTCAAGAGAAGCACACATTCTTTCTTGAATTTATTCACAGAAAATAAAGAAGTTGGTAACGTGAAAACATATGAACATATGCAAGAAAATAATTAGGTCCATGTTTGTTGCATATCATATTAGTACCTACAAATGTATCCAAGCAAATGAATCGCCTAAACTCCAGGAAACTTCACAAGTGACTGCAGCAAAATTTAAATTGATTGTTATGTTCAACTCCAGGGCAGATGATTTACTCTTAGTGAAGATTTCCAAAAACTATTTACGATTCAATTTCTGGAGTTCAGGGGATGGAGATGTGAAAATACTTGGATGAAAAAAAAAAAGATTGAAAAATTATCAATGATATCATAACTTATGAATTGCTGTCAGTGTGTCTGAAGTCTTGAGATTCTTCTATTTTTTGAGAATCTTGATATTTGACTCCTCTGTACTGATGATGCACAATAAGTCTAAAACACAGGCGGCTGAAGGGAAGGGAAATTAACAAAAAATTTTTATTTCAATTTTCATGTAGAGTTTTTTGAGATTGAACTATATAATCAACAATATAGGTAATTGATATTAATTTATTGGTTTTTATCCATTCATGCAAAATTACTTATACAAAATTTAAAACAATAATTCTGATTGTGACACAAGTAATGCCAATGATAAGAATTGGTTTTACCTATTATTGGCACCCTGTGCCAATTACTAGATTTCAACGATTTATGGAACCCAATTGTTGGCACACTGAAAATCATGCCGGCAGTTGAATAATATCACTGCAAAACGTTGGAGACAATGCATTAACCCTTATAATACCGATTTGAACTAATAAAGTCTACTGGTCATCTAATATTATGCAAACAGGAATTTATAATAAACATACTCACCTTAAGAATTTCACTAGTTTCACACTACTTTTGAGGAGACGAATTTTGTGAAATGCATATCTAGGTTCATACCACACAGACCAACACGAAATGGCGGGAGGAATTAAAGCGGTGTTTGCTGTTCCAACAATGGAAAGTAGTTTCGATCATATTTGAGGCTGAACCATAGTATTGATGAAAATATGTGCAGGTGCCAATGACAGGTAGGGGTGTCAACAATTGGGTATTTTACCTATGTGAATTTCTTCGTGGGATATCGCTTAGACCTCGTTGAGAATATCCCGGCGGCGGACATTTGGAGCAAAAATAGTGCTCTCGGCAACCGCTCAAAGAAGTAATGGAAGGCGTCACAATTTCCTGGAAGGAGGTTGCCGACATATCTCTAAGACCTCTTTGTGTTAGCTGGGTAATATACAGGGTATTCCAATTGAAAAATTATGAAATTGTAAATACCGAAATTAGCAGATAGATATGATATAATGAAAGAACAGAAAAGTCGGAATGAACGAAGTAATTATATTTATTTGAGATAAATAAGTAATGATTCCATATTTATTTCATAACAAATTAAAACAAAGAATAAAAATTAAGGTAAATTTCACAGATCAAAAATACAGAACTTGTAGATAATTTAAATCGATTTATCACCTATTTCAAAATACAATTCATAATAAATAAAAATGGTTAGTTATCCTGGACTGAACCTAGCTAATATTTATATTTGACTATTATTTTCTTAAAAACGACAATATATAAATGCTAAATTCAAAAATAAGTATATCAACAAAAATGTTTTTTTTTTTTATTTAAAATGCATTTTAATGTTGATATATAATCAACATGGATATAAAAAATGCAATAAATTGTCTACAAAGCTCATATGACATATGCATTTTATTGTATATCGTATATGTAAAAGAATAAAGATTGCAACTCAAAACGGCCACTTTTTGATATGGAATCTATTTATATCCAGTTCTATGGACTGTAATTTTTTCAAAGGCAATTTTTCTCAAATTACCAAGCAACAAAAGTCTCATTGAAATTTCAAGTTTTCTTCAACAAAAAACCCGGATTGACGTTGCAATCTTTATTTTTGTACAGAATATTATTGGCCAAGAAAATGCATAGCGCCATACCGACTTGAGAGTTGATAAGAGTCAATCAGCTGATGTCAAAGTATTTGTTCTTAATGTCGATTATTTTAATGTTTTTGTTCATTGATGCTGTTGGGATGGTTGTTAGCTTGCACATTTGGCTGTTGCTGATTTGTCATTTTCTGTTCTGCTGGGTTCACTTCATTGGTGTTCAAATGGTCCTGAGGAACTCCACCCTGCTAAATTAAAAGAATCATTGTACTAATCAAAGAAAGAACTGAAACTGATTATTCTACCTTTAGGACTTATACCCTCGTTCAATTATCCTATTTTTGAATTCACTCATGTACCAGTTGTTACCTGACTGTTAAAACGGCAATAATATCATAGAATAAGTCATCTATCATTATTTGCAATCAACTTTTTCTACATGTGTCTCCGAGTTCGTAATGTTTGTGTTAATATGTTATGATTGTGGTTGAACATTTCCCATTTCCTGCTAAGCTTGATTTTTTTATTCAAAAATGTTCTGTGAATCTGGTTTCAACAGTTCTTCTTGTTTGACCAACACCTGTTTTTCCGCAATCGTTTTGTTATCCTAATATAACACCTAATTTGGATCTGGATATAAGTATGCTCAACTGGAAGTCTAAATATCTGAAAACCTCACCGAGTCTTCTACATACTCGGGGTTCAATAGAATTGAAATGATTCTTCGATTGTTTTCATCTACTTGAGGAGTAGAGGAATTCAATTACAATGGGGCAAATCAGAGTAAAACATGTGTAGCATTCAAAGTTTTGCCTTAAAACCTTTGCATTTTGAAACCCTTTTATTTGTATCCCATACTTACTTATCAACTTATTACTTATTCTGTGATGAAAAAAGTTGTTTTATAGAATTTGTTAAAAGAAAATTTTCGAAAGCTCTGCAAATTACAACTCTCATTTTTGAAATTGAACTTCAATTGAGGTCTTTGCTATCTTGAACGAGAGAGAGGGAAGTCTCTCCTCTTCCATCTTTCTCTTCAATGATACCAACGTAGCCGCATTGAAATATAGTGAGGTCCGATAAATCTGTCTTTGTCTAACAACTCGTGTGCCACTGGACTATTTTTGAATTCAGCAGAGAGTCAAATTTATCGTTATTAACAAATGATGTCAAAATAAGTATGATATGATTCGAAATGTAATTTAAAGAATTCGAGAGTTTACCAGTCAATGACATTCATGACATTGACATGTCACATCATTATAACATCAAAAATAGTTCAGTGGCGCAGAGTAGACCATAGAAAAGGAAAGATTTATCGGATCTCTCGATGCCGCCACGTTGGTAGCACTGAAGAGAAAGATGGAAGAGGAGAGAACTTTCCTCTCTCTCGTTCAAGGTAGAAAAGAGCTCAATTCTGGTAGAGATTTATTTTGAAATAGCAATGAATATTTTTTGAATTGAAAGACTATTCATACATGAATACGTATGCCATATAAGTTACCGAATAAAATGAAATCAACAGTTACAACAATAATTAATTAACATAACTTATGCTTTCGTGGGAAAATATTATAATGAACGAAAATGAAACATTTGTAATCAATTCAAGAAATACTCACACTGGCCTGATGCTGAGGAGCTCCCTGTTGCTGCGCCTGCGCCTGTGGATGCTGTACCCCACCACCCGCATTCTGTCCACCTCCCTGTGGAACCTGCTGCTGGTTCCCACCCTGTGGAACCTGCTGTTGGTCCCCACTCTGAGGTACCTGTTGTTGATACCCACCCTGAGGAACTTGCTGTTGGTACCCGCCCTGAGGAACCTGCTGTTGGTACCCGCCCTGAGGAACCTGCTGTTGGTACCCACCCTGAGGTACCTGCTGTTGGTACCCACCCTGAGGTACCTGTTGGTAACCTCCAGGTGGTCCCTGTTGATATGCGCCTGGTGGAACCTGTTGGTTACCACCGTGCGGTACTTGGTTACCACCTTGCGGTAATTGTTGGTATGCACCTGGTGGTGCCTGTTGGTGAGTACCTTGTGGTATTTGGTTACCACCTTGTGGTATCTGTTGGTAAGCACCCGGTGGTACTTGTTGGTAAGCACCTGGTGGTACTTGTCCTTGTCGGGGCACTTCTACATATCCTTGAGGTGGACCCTGCTGAAGATTAATTACTTCTTGTGAATCGAAGATCGACCACAGTGACTGAATTATTTCCGGTGAATGTACCTTTTCATCCTATTTTCAATTCCTCAAAGGTCATGTTATCCACTTCCCCAGCACTTTTCAACGAAATGCATAAATAATAATATGATGTGAAACTTAAAAAATACAGTATTTGAAAACCCATAATTTTGTGGGAGATCCAAACACACCATTTGGCGGCAGTATCTTCTGACGTCATAAGTTCTATCGGTAGCATCATCCAGAGTTGCCGGTTGTATTTTTTCGAAGAAATATATAGAGACAATATACAGACGTTTTCAACTCAAATGAACTGTCAACTACTGAGAGTGTTCTTAGCAATTATGTAATGATTTTCACCAATCTAGGTGATACTTCTATTGGCAACCAATCATGTTGGTAGGTTCAGACAGTCAAGATAATATGTGGTTCAAACATAACCTTGTGAAAGTGTTTTTTATAAGTAAGTATTCATACGTATGATACCTAGGTATATCATCACACCTTCTCAGACGAGTAAGAGGCAATATCAGATTATTAATTGTCCTGATGTCGTGAGAGCGAACGAAAAAAATGTATCTAATGCAAATTCATACATTTCAATAATGTAGTTTTCTTCTCCATGTAAGTAATTTCTCTTCCATGTAATGTAGCTGAATTTTCATTCATTCATTTGTTGTAGAACTAATGTATAACATCTAAGCTGATGATGAACCTATATTGGTTCGAAACTTGTCCTCTTAGAATCTTCTAGAATTTTGATTGAATATTTGTGAAAATGACTGGGAGTTTTCACTACTACTCCATCCTTTTACTCCACTTTAACCATTCACTTGTGCCTCAAACCGTTATAAATTTGAGGTTGAACCAGTAACTTTTGTTTTTCCTTGTATAATGACCAAGACATGACATGACAATGATATTCTGAAACATACAGGGTGTCCTAAAATTGCTGGGACACAGAGCTACCACGTGTATAGCAGGTCAAAATAAGTTGATTGGACCCAATTAATTTATGTGCCAAAATGTACCGTGTGTCCGTGAGAAGGGTTCAAAGTTCACATGAAAAAAAAAACACATTTTTGTACGCTGTTCAGAAACAAGTGAAACGAATTTGATGAAATTTGGCAATAATGTATTTCAGAGGTTTGATTTCCTTTTGGTAATCGAAGAAGCCTAAAAGAAATTGTTGAAGGGTTAAAACCACCCTCACCCCCTGACATTTTTTTCCGAATTCTTTTAGGGGTCATAATACGGTTCTTAAATTTTTTGAGCTTGAAGACTAATCAATTACCTTCATTTTATTGCTCTTGTAAACTTTTCCTATACCGCATATTATAGTTTCAAAGAAAAAAAAATGGTCCCTCAAATAATGCAACCAGATATTCCCAGTACAAGTTTAATCAAATTGTGATATAAAACTTAGTTGGCAGTGGAAACGAAGGCAAGTCGTGATTTTGACAGGAAACAAATTTAGCGTCATTCAAGTTTGTTGTTGACGTTGTCTGTAAATGTTTCAATAAATTCTTCAGACGAGACATATCTGAACAAATAATTTCTTTCTCACGGACAAACGGTACATTTTGGCACATAAATAAATTGAGTCCAATCAACTTATTTTGACCTCTTCTATACGTGGTAGCTCTGCGTCCCAGCAATTTTGGGACACCCTGTATATCTATCTAAAGTTACAGCAAGATCAATTTGGCTAAATTTCTCCCTAGCCGGTTACTATATTTGGCAGATCTTAATATCCTTTTTTATAAATGTAACAAACTCTTGCAAACTTTAATCTTTTAAAAAAACCAAGTATTTACAACATTTTTGAGAGCACCCAATATTGAGCCAGCACTGCCCACTTTCCTTTTATGTTTCTCGTCTTCCAGACCTACCTGGTAAGCCCCCGGATGGTAACCCTGCGGCCCCTGATTCGCCATCTCGTGCTGCCTGATGTACTCGGCGAGCTCCTCGTCCGTGTAGGGCCTCTGCTCGTCGAGGCCCTGCCAACCGCGGTCCTGCTTGAAGTCGTTCGTGTTGGTCTGGTGGAAGAACTCGTTGTAGTCTATGAAGCCGTCCCTGTTCCTGTCCATCTCGTTGAAGACGCTCTCCCGCATGCGTTCCATCTCTTCGTACCTATCAATTGACGATATTTCACACTCATCCGAGGCTTTTAGTCCGATCAAAACGTTAAATGACGCAATTTGCGTGATACGACAACACCACTTCCATCTGTGGCTCTCTGAATTCTCGAGAGGCAGTCACAACCCATCACATTCTTTCCTCATACATCAATTTTCAAGTTAGAAATTAGCGCAATGAGCTATAGTACCGGGTGTACCACTAAGAAAGGACGCCGGCTGTATCTCGGAAACTATTTGCCGCACAGGTTTCGGAAAAAAATATTTATGATAAAAGTGGCCAAGAAAAATCTCTGGAAATTATTTCCAAGTTTCCAGGACAGCCGCTGGAGGGCATAATTGTATTGGCCGACTTAAAAAACGGGTTTTTATGAAAATTTGATATATCAAGACATTTCAGAAACACTTCTTCCATGTTTTCGAGTTGATTTCCAATCATTTCGATCAAAAATTGCGCTAGCTCTCAAAATAAAAGTGGGAGGGAAGGATGAATAGTACTCTGGAAAAACTCTTATTACTACAGTTTGGTGTAACGGAATTGAGCGATGTTGGTCTCATTATGAAGGGTTTTTTCAGATCTTCCCGATGAATCACGATTCAAATCGATTTAAATCCCATGGTGGCCGCTAAATGGCATCGTTTGAAAAATCAGCCGATTTGCCTTTTTTTTTTGAGAATTTCAAACGGAACCATATATTTTTCCTGCCATGATATGAAAGTAAAGTAAACAAGGAGAAAAATGGTGAAAACCGCTAATTGATACCTCTTGAAGAACCGGAGAAATACTCGGAATAATATTAAAATTTAAACTGTTTGCATTTGAAATGCCTCCTCATTCGATATCGGCATTTTGACAAATAAGCAATCCACAGTGGAAACTTTCATTGGAACTTCAATTATATTTTGACGTTTCTTTCATTGAAAGCCAACTTGCCTTTTCTCATTCCTGAGCCTGTACTCACTACTCACCTTTCAATTAGCTATGTCATTACTCATTACTAAGAGTCTCCTTCACTATTGTGAGATATAACAGCAGTTTGTGAAATCAAAATAAATGAATTATTGAAATCATAATTTCATAGATACAGGATATTTCTGATTACGATTATTGAAGTTAGATTCCTGTGGTGAATATTTTCATAATATTATTTCGAGTATTTCACCGGCTCCTCAAGAGGTATCAATTCGCGGTTTTCACCATTTTTCTTCTCGTTTGCTCTACTTTCATATTAGAGTAGAATGAATATATGGTTCCATTTGAAATTTTCGAAAAAAATGGAAAATAGACTGATTTCTCAAACGATGCCATCTAGCGGCCACCACAGGATTTAAATCGACTTGATTCGTGATTCATCTGGAAGAACCAAAAAAACCTTCATAATGAGGCATAGATCGTTGATTTCCGTTACACCAAACTGTAGTAATGAGAGTTTTTTCAAAGTACTATTCATCCTTCCCTCCCTCTTTCATTTAAAGAGCTAGCGCAATTTTTTTTATCGAAATGATTGGAAATCAACTCGAGAACACGAAAAAAGTGTTTTTGATATGTCTTGATATATCAAATTTTCATAAAAACCTGTTTATTGAACTGGCCAATGCATATACGCCCTCTAGGGAAACTTGAAAATAATTTCCAGAGATTTCTCTTGGCCACTTGCATCATCAATATTTTTTTCGAAACCTGTGCGGCAAATAGTTTCCGAGATACAGCCGGCGTCCTTTCTTAGTCTTACACCCGGTACATCCGATCGTCCTTGAATCCGATTCTGGGCATGGCTTATGGATATGGTCAGTGATCACAAAGCACTTTGAGAAGGATTTTTGATTATGTTTTTCCGTAATTTTGACGTACATTTCTATTCAACTCTGACTCAACTGGATTCACTTCAAGCAATAATCATTATATGAAGCCAAGCTTCGGGAGATAGGACTCGCTAACTAGGATTCTTATATGTATTGTGGTATCCTCATTAGAAACTGTCCAGAATAGTGAAAGAAAAATTAGAAATAAATTAGACCAGCAGTTAGTGACAGATTTTCGGACGTGGTTTCACCCAGTATGTGTATATGTATCTATTTTGATGTAGAAAAATGATTTATGAAAGAATCCTCCCAGGTTCTTTATGCATTTTGGCATATTATCAAGGTTTAGTGCTTCGGATGACACTTAAAAAGCTAAGGTCCCCGTCTTCTTAACTCACACAAGTCTCTGACTTTCGAGGGTTGCTTTGCAACTAAGCTGGCGGTTAAAAACACTTTTAAACACTTTTAGGTGTACTTGAGCATGGGCAAACAGTGTATAATTTTTTCCGTAGCATATGCATATCACAAACATGAATACTTCTTGAAGGCAGCCTGTTTCAAAACGAGGAAAAATGATATTTTTAAATATAACGTGATTACCTTTTGGGCTTAAGCAACCGGTATGCCTTTGTATTTTCCACTATGCATATCACTTATATTTCATTTTGGAACACAGGCAGCTTGACTCCAATAAATAATGTCATCTAACTTTAATATGCGTGAAGAATCCGGAAGGATTCTCTCATATATAATTTTTCAACATCAAAATATATACATAATGATACCCACTAATAGGCATACTGGCTGAAATCACGTCCGAAACTACCTGCCGATCTTAATGAATTTGAATCGGTCTTAATGAATTTGAATCGATTGCCAGCCCTGCGGACCAGGTTCAATTCCTGCGAGGGTCAGTTTTTTTATTTTGTTTACTCAAGTTATTCTGCAAAGTATACGAAATAATTTGTAATGATTGTGATAAAACATATATAAGCCAAATCATGCGACCCATAAAAACAAGGTTCAAAGAACACATAGCACATTTAAAATATGGTAGGTTAGATAAATCGAGTGTAGTCGAACATATGTTCAATCAAAATCATAACACACATATTCCTAACCTCAAATTCACGATTGGGTGAACATATACCTAGTATATAAGCAGCACACTAGAGTATGATATTTAGTTTTAATCTTCTCCTGAAGATGCTAACATAGTTAGTTTAAAACATCGGTTTAGTTAATGGTAAAACAGTGTAGTGTATTATCTTGCCAAAGTTTCCAGTCCTCGATATGTCTATTTACTGTTATCGAGTCTGAGGCTATCCCCACCATTCGCGATTTCGTTCATTTATCCGTGTTCGACGTTTAGGATTGTTATTGGCGTATACTTTTCAATGATTGATGAATGAATCGCGGTGTCTATCTAATGTTATTTAGTCCGAGTTTATACCTTTCCCTCATGTCGTCCTCGGGCGCCCCCTGCTGGTACATCTTGTCCAGCTCCTTGACGAAGAGCGCCTTCACCTCGTCCTGGTCCCACAGCCCGTTGCCGTCGACGTCGTGCAGCATGAAGAACGTCTTCGGGTCGAAGTCCTGCTGCATCTGGTCCTGCTCCTCCCACACCTCTTCCAGCTGCGCCTGGTGGCCAGGCTCGTGCAGCTTCTCGTGCTGCTTGTGCTTCTGCTCCAGCTCCTACGATAATCGAATCAAATTTCGAATAGAATTTATTTCTACACCCGTATAGCCCGAGAGCCGGCTGGAAATTTCCACCGTCATTTGATAACAAAACAACAAATGGCGCAATTTTCGTAAGCTCATACTGCTATTTTGATTTAACGGTATTCAGATGACGATTGAAAAGTTAATGTTAACAGCGCCCGTCCTACTTTGTAATATAAGCGACAACGTGAGAATATTTTAGGTCGATAGAACACAACTAATTATCCAGGAAACCAAATTTTCAGTATTATCCTACGTTGCGTTTTCCAGAAACGTCTATTGTGCCATCCACTGTGAATCAGCCTGTATAAAGAAATAAATTGAGAATCTGCATTCTCTATGTGATGAAAATATCAATTCTTTCTCGGTTTATTCAATAGAAAACAACTACTTTCCTGGCTATATGCCACGACGAAGATTGAATTATATCTATTGAACACACACGATAAGAATTCGAACACAAAACCTTTTGAAGTTGAGAATTTCCATTCTCCTCCAGTAAAGAATATGTATATGCACATATCATTCTGAATATTCAACAGGAAACAACTACTTTCCTGGCTCTGTGCCAGGTCGAACATTGAATTATATCTGTTGGACACCCCAAAAAATAGCATGAAAAATAAAAATCCTCTGAAACTGAGAATAAGTAAGTGGACTATTTTTTTTAATTTCTCAAATAGAATCATCACTCAAATACCTCCCGATTTCATATTTTTTTAGAATTCTTCGGTCAATTTTTAGGTGCGAAAATCATCAATAATACCACGGTAATTTTCAGATAGAAATTTACCACGAGTAAAAACTGATGTCACGATTTCGTAAGTAGGGGCAGACCATAGCACAGTTGCCATGTATTGAAATACGATTGGTAACTTCAGAAATATTAGTTATTCACACATTAATAAACTCTCAATTATGTGTAGGTAATATTCCAATTTAGCAACACAAAATCAATTGTAAAATGTTCCCATATGATTTGTGACTTAGTGCTTATAATACATTTGTGTAAATAGTAATTATATTAATTCACACTAGAAGACATTTGAAGCGGTGAACGTGACAACACCGCGCGCATGACTTGTGGGCGTGGTCTTGTCCCTTGCACATGCTGGTTGCTCGAAAGTGTCAAAAATGAACTATAATATCATGGGTTCCTAATAATATGTTTTATTCAACGACAGGACTCTTACATCTGTTTGATAACTTGATTATATAATTGGTGACTTGACAACCTTGCTTCGTGAACAAAGCATACACTCATTATTTACATGAAAAAAAGTGTGAGGAGTGTTGCAAATATTAATTTAGGTCCTTAACGACACAGTGTAGTAATTGAATGCCAATAATTCATGATAAGTCCACTCGCCCATTGACATTCTCTCTCAAATCGGATGAATAATATGATGTACTTATTAACTGGTTGTGAATTCTTCTTTTACGACCTTTCGTATGAATAATTATTGCTATAATGACAACATTTTGACATTTTTGGTTTAAAAAAACTGATTATTTTGGAGAGATAAAAATGGCACATGACCCCTTATTTCTCTTTGGTTAATTTTGAGATTCATATTTTCTGAAAGCTCGACTCTTAAATTTTTTACTCAAAATTGCTGAATTTACTGGGTTAAATTGAATTTATGGATTCAAAAATAATTTCTTTGAAAATTATTACAAATTAAAGTAAACATAAACATTCATTTTGGAAATTCTTGAAATCATTAAAACATACTAAATCATCAATATCCGACTCGTCAGTACCACTGATATCGACCTCTGTCTCATTGGAATATTGCAATCTTGAATATTCCTGTTGAAGATCTTCTGTTGCCATCTCGGCAAAGTTCTTCCAAGTCCTTAAACTTTTTTATACTAATTGGAATCTTTCGTGAGTAGGCCTAACGAGATATACTTACACATACAAGCCACATTTTGATGTAAAAAAAAAAATTAAAGCAAAAAGATTCCACTCAGTGTGGCGCTTAGCACCTCAGTGCACAAAATTTTTTAAGACCACAATTGGCTAACCACCGTCGACAGGCACCTTTTGGCTCTCATTCCTGTTCAATTTTTGGCGCTTGTATCCACGAGTATAATTGCAGTGGCTTGACTCTGACGCTTGGCGCGTTAATGTCCAAAACTTATGCATCCGTTTGATATTTAGTATAACACAGAATTTCTCACAAACTGAATGAATGTCATTGGCTTAACATGATTAATCGCCGCAAATTACATTTTGCCTGCTTCTGCTTCAAGTTGATAAAACTCAAAATTCCAATTTATTTGCATGACAAATTGAGATATTGAACTGACGATCACAATTTAAATATCCGGCGCCAAAATATCCTCACCATACCATCTCACCACAAAGAAGTGTTCAAGAGATCATTTTCTTACAATATTGCTATCGTCGTGAATGACCTGATAAAACTCCCCTTTTTTCGATTTGATATGACTCCGAATGCCTTCAAGAACAAATTCAAATGCTTGGTTGCTTCTTGCTCTACAGGGGCGATACATATAAATTACAAACCAAAATGAGTATTCTACTGAACTGACTTTTTTCAATTTATTGACTTTGGTATTGGTACGTTGGATGGTGATAGACGCATTTCTTGTTCATAGCAGCAGCTGGAGGATTTTGAGGGGATCTAGTTGTGGTATTTCTTCCAAACTCAGCTGGTGTGTTCCCAGTATGTTCAATCTTTTGTGATTTACAGCGTCACACTCCATCAGTATGTGATGGGGTGTTTCTGGTTCTTCCTTACAGAATCTGCAGGTGCCGTCCTCCTGTAAACCTAGCTTCCTTAGGTGTTCATTGAGTCTGCAATGCCCCGTTAGAAATCCCGTTATTGCTTTGAGACTTCCTCTGCTGAGGTTTATCAGTGTCTGATCTTTCTGGGTTAAAATTTCCGAGATCTTTAGCCTGCCACAGTCCTGGAAGTCTTCTCCATTGCCTGGTTCTCAAAGCTCCTTCCGCCTTTTCAAGTTCTTCTTGGAAATAGGAATCTCCAAGACCGCAGAATGGCCCTGGTCTGATCAGTGGCGTTGAGGCCCCTTGTCGTGCCAGAGTGTCTGCTTGTTCATTCCCCTCCACTCCGATATGCCCTGGCACCCAGAGGAGGATCACTTTATTGTTACTGCCTCGCTCATTCAATTTGCTTAGGCATTCCCCATACCATCTTCGAGTTGATGTTGGAAGAGCTCAACGCCTTGATGGCTGCTTGGCTATCGGATACAATCGCGATATCCTTCTTCCGGTATTTCCTGTCTAGGTTGAACTGGATGCATCTTTATATGGCGTGTATTTCCGTTAATTCACTTTACGAAAATGAAATTTTATTTACGTAAATAAAATACAAGAATGTAACAAAAAAAACTGACTTTATTTTCTTCAAAAATCCAAAAGCATAGCATAACAAAATAGGCAATTTTTGCAAAAGAAACTGAAACTATTTACTGAAATAAACAAATAAATGCAAATATTATGCAACTTATAACTTATTCAGAATTCTCACACTTCAAAGTTCGCAATTTTCCAAAAAGAAAGTGCAGCAATTTTCATTGCTGGACTACGCACTTGGTGTCATTTTGGACAGCAATTTATTTTTAAAATTTGCTAGGCATCAAAATTCAATTTTCCAATAAATGGCAGCAATTTTCACTGTGCGAATACACACTAGTGTCATTTTGGGCATTATTATTATTATTATTATATAAGTGATATAATCAACTGTGAAGCGGCTCTTAGAAAAGTCAGTTTTCCGTCTGTGGGCGATCAGATTGAAGCTGAGATGTTTATGATGGTCAGGTTGCCGTAATGCCATTGAATTTTTCAGTTCAAACTAGTGCAAATTGAAGGTAATAATACCATTTGTTCCCATTGGGAAAGTTTGAATTAATAGTTGATTCAAATACTTTATAACAACTTCATAATAATACTTTATTAAACTACAATGTACAACATGTACATGACCTTGTTTTTATGTGACTTGACTCCCGACTCCCGAACAAGTGACCATGGTTGCCAACTTATTAGGAACCACAATAGACAATAATATAATGACAGTACATAACAAATACAAATAACAAAAAGGATTTTTTGTTTGTTTGGATGATAATACGGATTCCAAGTAACCAGGATCCCGGGGGATTAACCACAATATTTTTTTTGATCTAACAGTAGCAACATACCTAAGTAATGACTCCCCATTATCCGTTCAACGTTTAAATTTAGCCTTCACCGGTTAATTGAAAACACTTTTCTTTGGATGATAATATGGGTTTCAAGTAACAAAAGAGAAATATAAAACCATCAAAGTTTCTTGGTATATAGATTCGGAAAATTCGTCTATCAAAGATAAAAAAATAATAAAACTGTTTCTTAACTTCAGGTTTTGTTCGGAAATGTATGTATTAAAATGTCGGATCATTGCCGGAAATGCAATTTCTTTCAGAAATTTGAGGAACTGAATAATTAGGGTTTCCAAATCCCGGGGGAAAAACCTAGTTCCCTGAATCCGGGGATTAACCGCAATGTCCGCAATTGTTTGTTTGATCCAACAGTAGCAACATATAATAAAGAAAAATTCAGAAATGCATAAAACAAGTTACATTTTGATTAAATACCAAAATACAAATTAATGTCCCCTTCGCGAATATCCCAACATGCTGTGATTCAAACTGATCTAAGTTCATGGTAGAGTATCAATAATTCCAAAAATATTTTGCCTCTATTGAAAGGTAATGAACAAGCACATCGTCGGTGTAATTAGCAAAGTGCGTAACTCCACAATGACTAACTTTTCAGGAGAGCAATAAAACTGAATGACTTAACTCCAAGATTCGAATCATTTGGATGAGAGCGAAAAATTCGTAACTCCATGATAACGATTATAAACCCAATTTCAATTGATTTTTATTGATATTGATCATTATCAAGCATGCATCATTCAGTATAAATGTTTTAATTACCTTTTCCAATGTGAGATTGCATATTTTTTCACTATAATAAACCAGAAGTTGATGATGTTTTGCCGAACATGTGAACAGTAGACAAGGAGATACGAATATTGCCGAACATAAAATGGCGCGTTGGAGTTACGACTTTTTCTTTATTGAGTTTATTCTGCTGGAGAAATTTATTTGGAGATTGACCGTTTTCCAACATATTCGTTGAATTTTTTCCCAACAGATGGAACAAAAATGTCATTTTGACCCAATATTGGAGTTACGCACATTGCTAATTACACCGACGACATGGAACTGATGGTCCTGGGCGTTCCTGGGTCCATCGGATATTATCTTGCAACAAGGGCGAAATATTCTTTGAAATATTGATGGTGATGGTCTTGGAGTAATTCAGATCAGTTTGAAATGTGGCACCTTCTGATATTCGTGAGGAGGACATTATCTTATTTTATTTACTTTTGTATCAACTTCTTAACATGTGATAATGAAAATATGTCTGGAATAACAACAGCAAAAATAGCTGTGCCAAGAATTTGACTCTGATTGCGGGGTTAATTGAATAGGTTGGCCATTTTGAGAAAATTTCTTATTTTATTGAAAAATTCAAGGAATTTATATAGTAGTAGTCTCTGTAGAAGTATAAGGAGAAATGCTTAGAATATCATAGATACACATAAAAAATGATCTAAATATTTATTTTCCAGACCTGATGAACTTTTCAAGATCATTATAAGTATTATAACCATTTGGTAATTTCACCTCCAATTTCACATAATTCTTTAATTTTCCTATGGGTTTGATTGAGAACTTTTTGGAACTCCTCTTATAATTGAAGTTGAACATTTACAAGAATTTCACAGTTGTTTTAGTTTATCTGAGTTTATCACTCAGGTCAATTAATAATTATCATATACAGTGAATAACAAGAGATATATAATAATCTTCCTAGGATTCCTCAGTGTTTTTTGGGGTATCTCAGTATTGCTAATAGTATTATTTATTAAATCCCATGTTCCCTAAAATTACATCTGTAGGCCATCATAGAAACATTCATATGGGACTCCGGACTCAATATGAGATAATAGGATATCTATGGAAAATCCATATTTTCTTTGGGACATTCAAAAATTTTTTTGAGGAAAAATGGATTTGTCAATTTCTTAGGATATTATAGTAGAGGGATATCCTACTGAAGAATTTTCCTTGTAATTTGAATACAGTTCTCTGAATGCCTTGAATATGAATATATGAATATATGAATTATTTTGTATTAATTTTATGGCTGCTTTGGTAAGAACCACATACTGTACCTATTTCATCTAGTATCATGAAATTTATGAATACCCAAGGTGAATAAAAATATGAAACAATTTAGAGTATATATAAGCAGGTGTAGGTATGGCATTGCATCTCAGATGAGACTGGGAAAATAAGGCAAGATTATTCACAAACAGCATTGTGACTATTTACCTGAAATTCCTTTTCTAATTTTTCTTTTTCTGCACCATTAGTATGATTCAACTTATCCTGCTTCTTATACTCCTTCTCCAGCTCATACTCTTTGAACTGTTCCTTTCTCTTCTTATCAGCCTCTGCCAAATCAGCAGTAGTTTTAGCAATCAGTTTCTTGAGATCATCTATTTCAAAAGTGTGTGGATTGGCGTGGTCTACATGATGATGTGTAGGGTCCTCATCTATGGAATTGGGATCTTCAAGTTGCCTTTTTTTTTCTGTGAGATCTTTGAGTCTCTCAAGTTCCACACGTTTTATCTCATCCAGTCTTGTTCTTACATGGTGTGAGACAAATTCCAGCTCTTCAGCTATTTTCCCTGATCTGATGTCACTTTCATCAGCTTTTTCTAATTTCTGTCTGAAATCTGGGTCAGACTCTAGGGCATTGACTACTTCCTTGAGATATCGGTGATATTCCATATAGTCTTCCAAGCCATTAATTCCAGAGTCTTCTTTACCTTCTTCTTTTTTGGTTTGTTGAACAGGAGGGGCATAGCAAATTTGGATCATCAGAAATGATAGCAGGATTATCACTTTCATATTGATGTGGGTTCAATAAATAGCTATAATTATTCTGAAACATATGAAAACATTTGTTGAGCAATATTTCTTTGAATGATCAAAGAATGAACATAAAATGGATAGGTAGGTACTTTACAATAAAATGACAAGGCTCTCACTATTTTTCTAGGTCAATTAAACTTTATATATCTATGGATCATCTATCACCATATTATCATTTATTGAAGAAGAAACTGATATCAAATATCACCACCACAATCCACGATTACCAGAACACCACATATATTGTGTTTTTCAAACCAAATTAAAAACATCAACAATTTTTCATACAAGTGACAACCGACGTTCGACTTATATAGTCTATGTGGTAATCTAGCACCGTACATATGTAGCTAGAGGACGGTTTACTTCTAGCGGCTTGAGAAGAAGTCTTCATGATAATATTTCTCAAGGCTATCTTCTTACTAGATAAGAGGCCAATAAATCAGAAGAAAGTCTGTCATTATTGTCATTTGACATTTTTATTTTATTTTTCTTTCAGAGCCAAAATTTGACATCAAAAAATCAAAATAAAAAGGAAAATAGAAAAGCAAAAAGTAGCTATGCATGGAAAATTAGGTTCTTCCAAATTTGCAAATTCTATTTCATTTTGCCTCAAATGATATTCTTGGAGCCAAAATATGTACTGTCTTCAGTGGCTCATTCCAGTTTTGTTGATGCCAAAACCTTCCAACCCTGCCCTGGTGCAAACCCATGTAATGTTCATGATACTTTATTTGATTGGATTTTTCCTGGAGCGAAAACCATGTACGATTTGCAGCCTGGTGTTTCTAGCAACAGTATTCTTAATTTGCTACAGTGGACTTGGCAACTGCCTGATATGGGCTTCAACCTGTGAAAGTGAAAATGGATAGCAAAGCAATGGCCAGAGCACTCCTACCTGAACTTGACTCTTTCTGGGGAAGGTACCTTTGACATTTATTTTCAAAATATGATTTTCTCTTGTAAAGAAACTTTTGTTGTTAATTGTATTTATCAATATTATGTATAAAATGTAAATATTTTTATAGATTATATTATCTACCTATGCCTGTGGCATATTATTATGCCAAAGAATTTTTGACTTTTATTCTGTATTTTCTTACACCAAATCAGTATAATGGTATAGACGATTTTCTATTACAGCTCTGCTTCTGAATTGAATCCCCACTATCAAAGAAATTTTCCTACCTACTGATTCTATGGGCAGTTGTAAGCATAAGTTTATAAAATAGTGTGATGGCTAGCTCCAGACAAGACTGACAAATTTAGCTACCCCTTTGTATAATTCTCAGACTTGGCAACTTGGCATAACCACAGTATATTATCCTAAGGGATAATATACTGTGACCTAACCCTAAGAGTTTAATCTTGAATAAAAATCTCATGCAACAAATGAATTCTTTCTGATTTGAATAAATTCAGAACATTGGAAACTTTTAGCCAAGATGAACGATTTTTTGAAATAGTTCCTGTATTGAATATGTATTTTCCAGATTCAGGGAGTAACTTACATCAATATATGAATGAGAAACATACTAAATTTCAACAATTTTTCTAGAATAAAATTATATTTATATTACATTGTTACAATTTATGAAATTTGTAATGAATGGTGGAATGGACTTCAACTATCCAACAGCATTTCTTGGTTGTAGTCCTGAAATAAAGAAGAGTATGTTAGGTGCATTTTACCACTATTTAATAAAACAAATATAAGTTAATTGATCAGTTACTACTTCAGCACTTTATTAAATAGGGCTGATAGTGCTGATTATCTATCAAGAAGTATATTAGGGTGGTCCACAACTTGGAAGGGTGTCTGGAGCTCATCTTTCAAGATATAGAACTTTGGGTCGTAGTTATTTTCATTCAATTCAGCTATCCATTTAGGATATATGTTTATCAAACTACCATTATAACAGTTAACATTATAACAGAAGACTAGGATTTTTTCGCAATGAAAATTATGAAACATTGAGAAATACTTACATACATCTTGTACAGATGTGAACCTATCTCAATCTTCTTGCTTCACGTTCAGATTCCAACAAAGTGAGGATATCCCCTTCTCTGACGGGGCCCTTTACATTTCGGATGATTTGCCGGTTTTGTTCGCCAATGAACTCAACTTTTACTTGGGTACACTGGCCCTGGGATCCAGTTCTTCCCAAAACTTTGATAACACGAGCAAGAACTACTGGCTTATCCATGTTTTTAGCAAACCAAACGGTTCAGAAAAAATTTTCTACTTGCACGTGGAGAGCTTTGGACAAAAAGGAAGCAGATGACAGATTGACAGATTCAGTCAAATTGTATCAAATATCAAATGTCAAATTTGTTGAGAATGAACGACGAGTTTCTCGAGACAGAAGTGATGGCTTCATTCTGATCGAAAAGCAAGAATTCAAATAGCCATGACTTTCGGTATGGATGCATGTTAATATTCCACTTCGCATTAGTTCTCAACGAGAGTTATCATTCACGAATGTATGTAGTGATATATTTAGGGATATAGACCTAACTATTATAGCGAACCATCAGAAAAGAAAAATTTCATAGTGGCCGGATATTTTAACAACTCCTATACAGGGTGTTTTTGAAATGGAGGTCAGTTCGTTACTTGATCGAACGATCAAACGATCAAACGAACGTACAGTCGCATTAAAAGAGAAATTAACGTCTATTCTGCATAAAACGGGTTATCGGGAATGACTGTTCACCTCCTGTTCACCAAATGTTGACAGTAGAGTTGTCATAGATTTTCGGAAACACAAAGCATTGGCTGAGCCAGTTTTACACAACTAGAACTTGATACTTGTACGCTTTTTTATTGAATACGACTATTGTCCGAGGATCATTGATTAATGATGGAAATAAGTAGATTGAATGATGAAAGTAAGATATAGTGAGCGTATTCGGCCATTATTACGTATTGAAAATTATTGTATTATATCAATCAACGGTTACAACGAGCGAGACGTAGATTCTACATTTCCCCGCTAGATGGTGATATACTGCTATTACTGGTGTGACGAGTGGAAATAAAATGGCAAATGGCATTTCAGGTACGCAGAACATGTATGTAACAGTGAGGTTATTCAACTCCGAATTCGAAAAATCTGACACAATTTCAAAACTGACAAATGTCATAATTGTGAAATGTCGCCATCTTTCAGAAGATCGACGGTACCATTGCTCTCGCTGTTCTCGAGAGGTCGAGTAAAATTTCCGAAACAAAAGCGCATCAGTAATTACACCATATCTTCCTTCCAGACCTTGACTTCCATCATTGTAGATGGTGTACTTATTGATGCGATTTTGTTTGAAAAAATCTTCTCCACCTCTCGAGACAATCTCGAGAATAATGGTTTCGGTGATATTCTAGTAGATGGCGACATTGCACAATTATGACAAGGTTGGTAGAACTGATGATAATTTTGATTATCAGCTCTACTAACCTTGACTCGTCTCAACAGCGTTGCCATCTAGCGGAAGAATGTAGATTTATCGTCTCGCTGTAAAGAAACCCTAGTAAGCGGTCGAGTGATTTTTCTCTAAAATGGCAGAGTACGCGCACCATCTACTTATTTAACACGTAGTTAGCGCTCTTGCAGTGCTGAAGGCAGCTAAAGGTCATCCTGGTGCGCTCACTCTTCATTTGTTTCGTCAGACTGGTTCTTGATATAAACAATTGAATTTCAGACGATGACGTGGGGTTCACATATCGAATGTTAGATGGCGTGATTCTTAGAACTTATCAAGGTTGGTAGAACTGATGACTATTTTGTAGAGGAAGGTTGCCTCGATCGCACCCCGCGAGTGACCTTGAGTAACTCATGACGTAATAGGCCCTTTCTTTTGCACGAAAAGTGTAGCACTCTCGTACACTTCGTGTATGATATGTACGCCGGCGATTGGCCGGCGCATGTATTGAGTTGACAGTTGTCAGTATTTTCGAATATTTGAACCATTTTGAACTTAAAAATGTAAAAATGATAATTTGTTCGGTCACTTCTTGTTAAAATTCGTACAAGTGTAATGAGACTAGTGAATTTAGTTTGTGTTTCCATTAATTTCCATAAGATGAGTCTATTCGTGAGAAATATGGATTCAATTTTGGCGAATATGTTCTGCCCATTTCGATGCCGAGGATTTTGAACGGCACAAGCAGAATTGCTAAATCACACACCAAAGAGATGAAAACTCAAGGTAGGAATCCCATCACTAATACCAAATACAACAAGAGAAACACCATAAGTATTCAAGTTTGGAAAAATGATCAGAACCAGACCAGTTGTGAATGTTGAGATTCTTGCTGAACGGGTAAAATGGACATCAGAAGATATCACACGTGTTTTCAAGTTGAGATATTTGAGCAAGAGTACGTTACCCAACGAAGAGGAGCTATGTTTATATGCATGAGAGATTCCTTGAACTATCCTTCATTATAGGTTCACTTATAATAGTAGTGTTATTTTTCATTAATTTTGTTCAGAATCATATTTTGTTATTTTTTTATGCTCAAATACTTCGATCAATTGCTCTGTTTTTGACTACAATATAATCAAACAATGAAATACTATTTCCTCTTGTATTTTCTATAGGTATCTAGTATGTCAATTTTTCAGAATACAGAGATATATTGATAACATAAGTGATCTGTTGTGTACGAATATTGGTCCACTGCTACTTCTGGATCATCAGTTGATTATTCTTATATTTTCTGTAGTTTCTTGTTCACATTATCTGATTTGCAGGATATTTATAGGATGAGTAGGTTCACAATCAATGCATAAGTAATCACTAGCGCCATAATTATGCTCCATACCTCAAAACACACTTACCTGGTACCACGACCTGGTAAATAGCCCCTGGAACAAAATTTCAGATAGGTATTCCTCTCTGTACTACTGATCCATCCAAAATTGCCTTCTCATTTCGAAGATTGAAGGTATTAAACAGAAGTATATGTAAATATCCATATTTTATAATGGTACTTACTTATAATTATATACAATAAATTAATATAAATATGCTGAGCAGACCAAAAAGTTTGTATCATGTTTGTATACTCTATTTGGTAAACATTTCATGACATGTCGCTTTAAGGTTGACAACTTGTCGTCTTACTGCCTGTGACGTCACGAGTGACCGTTTCCCCCCTTGCCGCACTATCGATCGAGGCAACCTTCCTATACAAATTATAATCAGTTCTACCAACCTTGGAACTTATGATCAACATCAGTTCTACCAACCTTGATGCGGCTAAATCGCAAAATGTATTCCCTATCTTCATTGGTCACAATTCGGTCACAATTGTCACATTGATGCCTGTAATTTTGGTACGGCACCACTGGCACCAGACTAAATTTAGCGACATTCACCATTTACCCACGCCATGTTATGTTCATCGAAGTAGGCGAAAATCAAGGAATTGTAATACAGGAAAGGATTGAAGTGCGTACACCAATGGTAACCCAACATAATTACGCTTGAAGTGCCTGCAATATTTATTTAGGGCTTTTCAAAAATTGCGAACTTATTAGAGGTTTTCAAATAATTTAAGTAACAGCGAAGTGGAATGGAAGATAAAAGGACTTGCAGTTCTTTCTTGGAGCCGGTGTTGTTGGCTTATTTTTCGGAACTAGCTTTATTTTGTATATATATAGACAGAGAAGTGCACAAAAAACGGCCAGGACTGTAACTTTTGAATTATTCGAGATAGAGTTTTCAAAATTGGTGGGTAGCAAGTATTCCAAATATTGCTCATTAATTTATGAACGAAAATAACGACCCCAACTTTTGATTTTCAGATGGAACACCCTCTGTTATTGTATTCCACTCGGTATTCCATATAATCGGTTAGGGATTAATCATGACGAATTCAACGAAACCGGGTTTGATATGGTTATAAGTTTCCATATGCTCAATGGGTGTGACTTATTTGCAATATCAAACCCTCCTTCTCTGTCACACTCACTGAGCATATGGAAACTTAGAACGCGAATATCTGCATAATCGTTTGAAATAACCCTATATATATTATTATATCAAACCCGGTATCAATGAATTCGAATAATTCAAAAGTTATAGTCCTGGCTGTTTTTTGTGCACTTTTCTGTATATATCCGGGAAGAAAGCTTTAAACACCTTAACCGTTTTGCAAAAGATGTTGATGGTTTCTACTACCATAGGGTTCCCTCTAGATGAAAAATATAAGTGTCTGTGGTTCTCCTCTGATGTTCTGAGTTTTCTTAATATACCCATGCAGGCAAATTACTAAACATACATAATATTAGGTTCTTCAAATTCCTCAAATTCCTAAAAAAAAAAGGGTTTTCCGTCTTGTTTTAATGGGATCAGGAATATGTGTGCGCACTCCTGACGTATTATACCTATTGAGGATACTATTTTCTAACCTGATTTTAATTTATAAAGGGTTTGGATTTTATGTCCTGTTGCCAGGACTAATAGGGTTCCATGCAAGTTGCTTAAAATGTGACAAGATACTTAACTTTTAATTAGGCCTAAGTGATTTCGAATAGGTATTGTATTACCAGAGATCACTTCTGGGTCTCATGTTACATCATAACGCGGATCAGGCGGCCTCATTCTCCTAATGCATTTTAAAAACCATCTAATGAGAACGTTGTTACCTATGTTACCTGGCAAAATGAGGCTTATAATATTGTGCTGAACGGTGGTGGTTGAATGTCCCATACTGGCATACTTGACAGGTGTTTTATCTGCTCTTGAAAAAAGGACGAAACCTCTGCTACATTTTCTTCAAATGTATCTTCTTATGACGACTCTCGCAAAATAACCACCACAGGTAGAATGAATTGTTGTACTGTATATGTATAGCCAAACATAATGATTCCAGTGATGTCTCTAGAGTCTCGTCTGGGTATACCCCTGTCTTGAGGAAGCCTTATCCTGATATTCTCCCTACAACCAGGTTGAGGGATGCTGACATAGGGTGTTTTGTTCTGGAAACGGAAGATCACTGGGTTGGTTCTAACACCAACATTTCAGAAATAAGTAGCTTCTTAAAAATTGTGACCCACGGTTGTGTTGGCCAATTTGGAACAACTACAATACCTATGGCATGATCATGTATGATTTTATTGAGCATTCTTAAAATAAGAGCGAATGGAGGAAACACATATAAAAGTTAAGTGAATACCATTTCACAGTAGAAGCATCGATAGCAACAGCAACTAGGCCTCTTTGCCATGATATATATTGAGGAAATTGAGCTTTTAACCTGATGGATGCAGAAGATCAATTTCTTTTTTCCCGAATTCAGTAATGATTACTTTATACGCTTAGTTTGCCGATTCCTACCTTATTTCCCTTGGTTCTCACCATGTTCTCTGAACATAACAGGATATTCCTTTTCGTGGGAACCAGAACATAAAAAAATATAGTTATGGTATTGTCTATATGGGTCAGGATTTTACAAGAACGCAAATCTCTGTAAAAACACTTTATTGCATAAAATGCAGCTGGTAACTCTGGAATAGTTGATGCGTGTGTTTGTCCTCTATTGTACTACGCCAACCGTATGTGCATGTAAGCTGGCTACTACAATAAGGGACTGTGCATGTTTTTCCTGGCAAATCGAACCCCATCCTGTCTGTGATGCATATCAGAATACAATTCAATGGAATACGAGTCATAATGAATATCATTGTATGATTTGAATATATTGTTAAGCCACCATTCTAACTAAGATTTTATATAGTCTGGTATAGTCATCTGCTTATTATAATCTAGGCCTTCAGATTTAAATGCGAGATTCGAGATATTTGGCTCTTTCGAAAGATCTAATATTTTACTGCTGAACATGCAGCAGCAAGTGTATACCTTCCAAAGCACTCTTCACAAAAATGTTTTTTTGTCAATTTTGATCAACAGGAAAGATTCGATCATATCGTGTGATGAAGGTGGATATATGTATGGTGAAATAGCTCCCTCTTACAAAACCCTAGAAATTTTTGTAGACCTCTGGCCTACTTGATTATGTCGAATTCTATCACCGTAGTAAGGCCGCGCAAAACTAACGCTAGATGGCGCTGTTCCCGAAGTGATCTTGATACACAATGGTTGTTTTGTTTTGTTGTTTACATTTACGTATATTAATTCGTAATTCAAAAACATTGAGAAAAAGTGATTGATTTAATGAAAAAGTCGTGAAATATTCATTATATCTGTGAAGTATATGTGGCATGATGTTCTCTACGCCATCTACAGTCAATCCGGTGCGGCCTTGCTACGGTGTTTCGCGGGGTCTACACGTTTTGGAAAGAAACAATTGACAAGTGGTTACACCAGTCGATACATCATTGTCATAAAAAAAAATACTTTTCAAAAATGCAAAAATCCGATATGACGCCCATCAAAAACACAAATTTGAATGTTGTAACTTTGGCATCAAGAACGTCAAAGAAAATACGATACGATGTAAAAAAGTGCCTCGTCTAGGTAACTTGGATTTTGCTTGAAAAAATAAAAACGAAAATTAACCGACTTCGTATCTCTTATAATAACTGAGATTCCATCATCGTGAAGTTCGAAAAATGGGCACCCTGTATATGAAGTCAATTTCAATTACGTAAGATACAGGGGGGCTTCCAATATTGAAGTGAGACACACTGTATATTGTAATCTATCTATATAAAAAAACGACTGGGTCAATTTTTATGATATTTAGAAATTCAACATGGCGGATTCAATATAGCGGATTATGTTATTATGATCCGATTCTATTCAAAATTGATATCGGAGATTAGGATTCATTCGTGAAAATGAGGAAATTCAAGATGGCGGATAAAATATAGCCGACGAGTTTTGTATAATTATGTTCCAATTTCATTCTAAAATTGGTATCTGGAGATTTTCGGAGTCGGAGATTATGATTCTATCGTCGAAATTTGAAATTTCGATATGGCGGATCCAATATATGGCGGAGGAGTTTTGTAATTAGGATCCGATTCCATTAAAAATTGGTAACTGGGGGTTGTCGGGGTTGGAGATTATGCTTTTCTCATCAAAATTTGCGTTTCCAAGATGACGGAACCAATATGGTGGACGAGTTTTGTTTATGATCCGATTCTATTCAAAATTGGTATTTGGGAATATTCGGGGTCGGAAATTATGATTCCTTCGTCTAAATGTGGAAATTCATTATGATGGAACCAATATGGCGAACGCAAGTTTCATAATTATGATCCGATTCTATTCAAAATTAGTATTTGGTGCGCACTGCGCAGCACCCAAACATACCCTGAAACTGTTGGATTCTGTCCAAAAAAGAGCAATTCGTCTCGTGGGTGACGCCTCGCTCACAAACTCACTCACTTCTCTGGAACACCGTAGGAAAGTTGGCGATCTGGCTCTATTTTATAGATATTTTCATGGACGATGCTCTTCTGAAATATCAACAATTGTTCCTCCCTTGGCAGTCCCCGCGAGATTAACCCGTCGAGTTGAGGCTTCACACCCCTTCGTCACAGATTAACATCTCTTTCCAAAGACTCGTTCATCCAACGAACAGCAAGGCTCTGGAACACATTGCCAAGGGAGTTGTTTCCCGAGGCATATATAACCTCCAGAAATTTAAGAAGAATACAAATTCCTATCTTATTTTCCTTGGTTCTCACTATGTTCTCTGAACATTACAGGATATCCCCTATCGTGGAAACCAGAACAGAGATTATAATTCCTTCCTAAAAATTTGAAAATTTAAGATGACGCCAAAATGGCGAACGAGTTTTGTAATTAGAATCCAATTCTATTCAAGACTGGTGTCTGATGGGGATTTTTAGGGTCGGAGATTATGATTCTTTCATCAGAATTGATCTGTTTTCTCAAGATGGCGGAACCAATATGGCGGACGAGTTTTGTAATTATGATTCGATTTCATTCAAAAGTGGTATCTGGGGGTTTTCGAGGTCAGAGATTATGATTCTCTCGTTCGGAGATAATGATATGCCTTCGTCAAAATTACGAAATTCAAGATGGCGGATCCAATATGGCAGACGAGTTTTATAATAATTATACATTCTATTATTAGGTAAAATTACACTTCTTCACCAACCAAGCATTACATTACCTATCGAAAAATAATAATCTAATAGCTGGACGATAAAATTAACAAAATTAGACTGCCCCCGCACTTTTTTTGCTCAAGAGACGCGCGTCGCCTTTGATTTCGGCGCCGGATCAATAAAAGACACATTTTCTGGTTAGACGCACCTCGTAACAGCTCGAGTCGAATCGTAACAACCGCGTGCTGATTTCGCGACCTTATATAACTATTAACCGCTATCCACAGCTTTAGTCATACCGTATAGTCGATGAGGCTAAGTCTGTAGACTGTACCGGAAAATTAACTCGTCAGCACGGCCGAAATTTTGAACAGGATCGCCCTGGGTGGTCGGGTACAGTGTTAGCTCTTACCGCGGTAAGACGGGGTGGTAAATGCATGTAATGACCATGATAGAGCATCGATAGATCCAATAGAGACCCCGATAGGGGCAGGACATTCCGAGGATATTTATTATGACGGTGATTATGTCTCTGAGGAAACGAAATTGCCTGATTGTGTTCGCGATTGTTGTGTCCGTACCTTTTTGCTTGTTTGTGTTTTTGTCCGTGCCAGGTATGTGTCCGAAAAAATCCAGTGTTCTGTCTCAATTTTATCATAATAATGATTTTTCATCCTTTGGAGTTCACCAAAAGGAATTCCTATTGTCTCCGGTGACTTTGTATTTACACAATCAGCCAAAGAACATCTTGAATACGCCTTGAAGAAGTACATATCGGTACGTAGTAAGTACGTACAGACGTCTTACGTCCCAGAAAAGTGTTTTGGACGTCTTTAGGACATAGAATCATTCCAACTACGAAATAACCACACAATGCTCAAAGTAGCATGAACTGTCAAATAAATAAAAGAAGCTTTAAGTCATTTACACACAATGTTCATAAAATGAACAGCACTGGTAGATTTCGGGAGAAAACAACTACTTTCATGGCTAATGCCACGCAGAACATTGAATTACATCCTTCCGAAATCTATGTATCGACTCGTTCAAACGAATACTGATACGAGTGATTCTTCTCTGAATGCCTATTGATTCCGATTTAGCCAGGCAACGCTAGACACCTACAGACCGTTTTCGAGCTGTTTGACTCTCATCAGTGCAGGGCAGTCTCTAGCCAGCATTCAGGAACGAATCACTTATATCAGTATTCGTTTATACGAGTCGATGCATAGATTTCGGAAGGATGTAATTGAATGTTCTGTTGTTCATTTCATGAACATTGTGTGGAAATCACTTTGAGCTTTTTGTATTTATTCATGTAGAATCATTTTCCACTGAAATTTACAGGGGTTGTGTAATTTTCTGACCAAAATTAAAGTATGCTGACCGAGCATTTCTGATTCGAATTTCCTCTTCAAATTGCATATTTGAATATCTTATATATGTAGATAGGTATGAAGATGCTACCAGTGGAATTATTTTGATCGACCCTTTCAGAGGGGTATTTTATGGAAAAATACGGACCAGAAATGCTCGGTCAGCAAGAATTTTCGAGAAACAGAAAGAATAAACTACCCCTCTGAAAGGGTGTATCGAAATAAATCCACTGGTGGCATCTATAAATCTATACGAGATATTCAAATAAATAATTTGGTTGAAAAATTCGAATCAGAAATGCTCAGCCAACAAGGGTTTTTGAAAAACTGCGAGATTAAACTACCCCTCTAAAGGGGTGGATCGAGATAATTCCACTGGTGGCATCTATATATCTATAAAAGATATACAAATATGCAATTTGAAGGGAAAATTCAAATCAGAAATGCTCGGTCAGCAAGGATTTTCGAAAAACAGCAAGAATAAACTACCCCTCTGAAGGGATGGCTCGAAATAATTTCACTGGTGGCATCTATATAAGATATTCAAATATATAATTTGATGGAAAAATACGAACCAGCAAGGATTTTTGAAGAACTGCAAGAATAAACTACCCCTCCGAAGGGATGGATCGGAATTATTTTACTGGTAGCATATCTATATATTCATATAGAATATTCAAATATGCAATTTGAAGAAGAAATTCGAACCAGAAGTACTTGGTCAGCATACTGTAATAATTTTGGTCAGCAAATTATATTTCCCAAATTGACATCTTTGAGACGTTTTTTTAATACCTCCAGGAGAGAAGCAATCTGAAGAAAACTATTAAGATACCTCAATAAATAGAAACTGATCAATTTCTTCCCCTTGATTTCCTCAGAGATTTTGTTTATCGCTTGGTGCGCACGAAAGGGAATCCCTATAATGTTCGAAGAACATCGTGCGTACCTAGGGAGGAGCTCGGGGATACTGATGCATGAAAGGGGGTATGATTTGGATTTTTTTGAACTTTTGGAGGTTATAAGTTCTTGGAAATACTTCCTCAGTCAAAGAAATGGGAAGAAGAATGGTTTTATCCTTCCTCAGGCAATGAAATGAGAAAAAGAATGGTTTTATCCGGGTTGTATACAGGGGCAAGGTCATTTCGTAAATGATAGGGCAATTAGGGCTGATGATAGATTGAGCCAAAATAATGTTGGTACAGTCGCATTAAAAAAAAGCGTACAAGTATATTACAGATAAAAATTAACGTACTATCGCTATCGGGAATGATTGTTCACCAAATGATGACAGTGAAGTTGTCATAGGTTCTCGAAAACACAAAGCATTGGCTGAGCCAGTTTTATACACAACTAGAACTAGGATCCCGAAATCCTGTCTTTTCAATACTTGTACGCTTTTTTATTGAATACGACTGTACATCATATTAACTGTGATACCTATTAACTTTCCACTACTAACGTGGGTTCATGTAACATAAATACCAACGTCGAACTCACATTCCGCACATTTGTTTTGATTGAGTAAAGAATGGAAACCATGCAAAACTAAATCAGTCTAGGCAAAAATTTACAGGGTTGGGATAAAGTATGGAACCAATCAAATATCTCGGTAATCGTTCGTTAGATTCATTTGAATTTATGTACAGGGTGATTTCAAAATGTGTCGGATTTGAAAATGTTATCGCAAATTTTGCCACTTTTTTAGTTATTCCGGAACTCGTTCCGGAAATATTATCAACTTCCTTATTTTGATCTGATTTCATCGATCTATCTATCACACTTGAGGTTTAGAGGGAATAATTATGCAGAGATATAGGGTGTTCAAAATCGAGATTTTTCAACTTTAGCATTTTTTTGTGTTGAAACTATTCATTATAGGTCAAAATGGCTCACATGTCCCTATCTCGAGCCCTATCTCAACTTTTGATTAACTATCTACCTATATCTACTGACATTTAATTGTAACGAATATGGGGTGGTTCGAGAATAAGAATTCTGATCACCCTGTATCTGTTTCAATTGAATGTCAGTAGACAGTAGAGATCAAAAGTTAAGAAACGGATATGTGAGCCGTCGGGTATTTTTTCATCCTGCTGGAAGATAGCTAGAATCCAACCAATCGCCAAAGAAGGAACCAGAAGCCTGCCCAGCAACTATAATAGGCCAATTGCTTTTTATACGTAACATGATATGATATGATTAGAAATTGATTAACAGTCATCAACTCAGACATAACAAGTGGGGTACGTAGTTTTTGAAAGGTATCAGATTAGTATAGATGTGGTTTTTATTAGGTATTAGATTAGTATAGAGGTCAGATAATTCATACGACGCTATAAAAGCAGATGATATTTTATCATTGCTCATGTAAGATGGAAGTAGAGGCCATGGCACCATATCATGAGCATATTTTTATATTGAAACTATCATTGGGCACCAATGATGTGTATACGACGCTATGAAAGTTCAGAGAACTGGAGATTTTTCGTACAAACTACGTACTTAGCCCGTACTTAGTTTATTGGCAAAAATAAAGACAGTAGAGTGAGCTAGGTACGTAGTTTATGGGAAAAAAATCAAGACAGTCGAGTGTGCTTTTTTTACTTCCTTTGGTTTTTTGTTTCGTTTTCTATTGGTAAGTGATTATCTAGGAACTTGTAAATTTTTTAGTTTTTTCATCGTATCTCCCGAACTATTGAATTCAGAGAAAAATGTTATAAGGATTTTTTGTAGATTCTATCAAAAGGAATAATCTTGGTTCCATAACATTTTCAGATATTTTCAGTTGTTTTCGAGATATTTGGAATTATCTGAGAATTAAATTTTCAACACTTCTGTTCCATCTTCCAATCAACAAAATGAAAAAATATTTCATGGTTCAAAGGAGGTCGATGAACTTCATCTATCGATAATCTTTGTTTTTCAATATATCTTCATAGTACCCTATGGGTCGTTAAAATTTTTTTTTTCATATTTTTCACTTTATTTCCTGTACTATTGGGTTTACAGAAAAAATAATGGGAAATGATTTGTAGGGAATGTTCCAGTGGATAACATTGCACTCTTGATAATTTTCGATTTTTCCATTTGTTTTCGATATATATTGAATTAAAAGGATTTCAAATTTTGATGTTTGGGTTTTCATTTGTTTTTCCAGTTTCCGATGGATGCACGAAAAAATGATTGAATGATAATTTGTTGCGTCATCAAAGAGGCATACGGTGCATTTCTCAAATTTGGATTTAGTCTATTTGTTCACGAGATATGTCGTTTTAAAGCGAACCGTGTTTTTCGGAAAATCTCCTTGAAAAACCCACTTGGAATTTTCCGACCCTGCTCAATTTCAATAGGCTTCGTCTCTTCCTGATAGAGGTTTTTTTCACAAAAAATGAAATCGATCGGACCACTTTTGCGATTTGTAGAGTGATTACAAGGAACTTCCGGTGAAAAATCGAAAAAACCCGGAAAAACCACCTTAGAGTTTTCCGATTTCCTTCATATTTCAATGACATAATATTGTTTTGAGTACAATAAGATGGCAAAATTTCAAGTCGATATGTCAAAGGGTTCCGGAGATATATCGATTTATGATTAACACAGAGTACAGACAGACAGACAGACAGACCACACACAAAAACCAAAGTTGCTCGAAATTCGATGGGGATCATTTTCTCCAAAGCAACTATACCTCTATCTCGCTTAGTTTCCGAGATAGCATTTTTGGCACGGCCGTAGTATACTCCACTATGTATAGCGTCGTATAACAAGAAAATTCAGTGTATCAGTGTATCTTTTGTGTGATTTTTTTTTCTCAATTTTCAAACGTTGTACTGATGATGCTGACGATTTGATTTTTGTGAGTTTTCCCAGAATGTGTTTAATGTTACACTATGCCTATTATACTTATCAGTAGATAATGTCTGTCACTCGGTATTTTGATATTGATTCGGTATTAAAAATCAAAACGCCTCTTTTCTAGCAAGTTCAGTAGTGATATTGATCTCACATCTGGTACCTAGTACGGTAGGTACCACCTAAAAATAGATTGATTATGAGAATGTTGTTAGTTATTCTAAGTAAAAAAACATACATTGTGCAACCTCGTAATAATGGAATAAACACCTTATTTAACGACCTACTCTGTTTACATTTCATTGCAAAACATTATCTTAATTCAACTTTCAACAACAACATATTCAGTGGAAAACCAGGTACTTACCTAATTATGAATAATC